AACTCTTAATTTTAGTGGTAAAAGCAAGTATAAAAAAAAGTGTATAAGCTAATATTGTTCCCCTATAAAGGCAAATAGTGAACCCAATTTTGCTAGAAGTATAAGTTTTAGAGTTTTTCCTAACAACTTGTTTGATTTGCATGATAGAATAGAGAAAAAAAAATCGAATTGCTATTCTTCAAGAATAGAATAGAAAGAGAACAATTGTTTTATAGTTTGGTTTGTAAAATGGAATAGATCAAGAATATTATGAATATATTTGGTTAATTAAATTATGTCAAGGAATAGGTATGAAATAAGATTAAAAATAATGTTTAACCTTTAATCAAATAATAATATTTTTATTAGAATTTTTTATTTTTTTACTAAATCTCACTTTATATTTCAATAAATAATTTTTAAGATAAAAATTATTTTTTAATATCATACAAAAAATATTTAATTAAATTTCAAACATTTTGTTTTTTTACTCTTTTTTTTTTCCTTCTTTCATTCTAGCCACCATCGACTATTAATACCAAGTAGGATGTGCTAGAGAGGATGAATAACACTTTTTGATTATAAAATAATATGAGTGAAGTGCTACAAACTTAATCAAATTAAAGTTTATAGCGGATGAAAGAAATCACCAAATAATAGTTATTGATGGAAGATAAGGATGCACCATGATATATGTCATAACGTTTAGATCCGGGGATCTATCGTTAGACATTGACTTTTAGGGAGTCGCCACCAAATTTTTTTATCTAGATGTGATTGGCCACCTAAAGAATCTGTCCTTTCAGGGAACGCCTAAGTTTAAGGATCCCTAAAAGAATAGGTTCAGGTCTACTAACCAGAACAAGATTCAGGAGTTCGATTACGTGTGAGAAAGGTTATAGCACCCTCACAACGCCTATCAAAAGATGGTACCAGCATAATTTTGTGTTATCCAAAAGCCTTAAAATTTTACCAAGTAATTAGTTGTTGGAAATTATTTTCAATTGACTCTAATACTTTTAGCAGAAAATTGAGAAAATTCTCTCACCTCAAGAGTATGCAAAAAAAACTATTGTTTCACTTGCAGAGACTTTGTCGTCGGATTAATTAAAAAAAAATCAAAATTAAAATCAAAAATTTCGTCGGAAGTTCGTCGGAAGATCACCGGAAGATCACCGGTTTCTGGGATTCTTCGTCGAAAACTGGGCAGGTTGCCGGAAACTTCAAGTTTGGCTGGAATTTTCGTCGAAAAATTCAAACTTCGTCGAAAAATTACCGGAATCTGAAATTTTCAGAAATTCTCAGAAAAAAAATCGCCAAAAAGCTTTAAAAAATTTCTTCTCACTCCCAGAACACTCCTAAACATTTTCTTAGCTCTCTATACGCCCCTATTCTCTCAATCAGTAGTTTTTGCTTACTTTTTTTTGTCTTCTTCATTCTGTTTCAGAGGTCCCTTTTATAGGGATTGATCAGGAACTTCCTCCTTGGACGGGAATTCAATCTTTGAATCCAATCTGGACTCTTCTGATTGAATTCCCATTCACAATGGGATTCTTCAACTTTCAATCACAGCCATCAAAAAAAGAAAACAAAAAATAATAATACTAATCAGATAATCGAGAAAAAAATCAGATAAAATTAACAGATAATTTAAAAAAATAATAAAAAATAAAATAAGATAAACCCAAAAATATATTACAAAAAAAATAATATAATAATAAATATATAACTATATAAATAAAATACATATAAATATTAACAAAATAAAATAAAATAAATAAATAGATAAATAAAGATATACATATATTAATACTAATAATAAATAAATAATAAAATACATAAAACACAAAAGAAAAAAAATAAAAATAAAAATAAAAATAATACAAGATAAAAATCAAATTGGGCTTACCTATTTAGGCCAGACCCAATTAATCCGAGCCTAGATCAAATTAAATGCCTACAATATAGAATGATTTGGTCTTCCTTGACTTACGATCACTACCTTGATAAGCCTTGTCAAGGATTTGTAAATCCACTATTTGATGAAATTTCGACTTTCACCAAGCTTTTTACAATAGTGTGCTAATCCCAAGCTTAAAGTAGAGTACAAATTCTCACCCAATGCTTACAAAACACTCAACCTAACTGAGCAAATCTCAGCTCAATCTTTAACCTTAAAATGTTTCCACATTTCAAATTAAAGCAACAAGCTTCTACAAATGTGAATATGATCAGTCTTTGATTTGATTACACTAATAAGACTCATTACAGATTTTCACTAAAAAATAAGAGTTGAAACTCAAAGAATTTGTAGAGATTTTGATTTTTGTGTTCTTCAATGCTTTTATAATCACTTGGATGTTTTTCTTCAATCTTCTAAGGTGTATATATAGAAAGATGTTGATTCTTGATCATTTAAAACATTTATGCCCATTGAAGGATAAAATCTTTAAAGATTTCTAGAGATTTCTCAAATTATAGCCGTTGCAGAGTGAAGATTTGATTTTCACGACGAGGCATTCGAATGCCTGTTCGTGGGTATTTGGATACTCAACTACTGTCTGAAAATTTTTTCAAGGGCGTTCAAATGCCATGCCTTGAGCATTCGGATGCCACCTTTCTGTTTCAAGAGCATTCGGATGCTCTCCCCTGAGCTTTAGGATGCTACCTTTTTTGGTTGCAAGGTATTCAAATGCCTTGCTATGCGTATTTGGATGCCATGCTTCCGGAAGTTGAGTTTTTGGCTTCTGATGATGGGTATTCGGATGCCTTACCCAAGGCATCGGATGCTACCATTCTGTCTGATGGGCATTTAGATGCTCGACAAGGACATTCAGATGTCATCATTCTAACTTGTATCTTCTTGCCAGGTAGTCAAATTGCATGCTTGGCCAGGGCAATTGATTGCCACTTTTAGACTTTGGTTTCTTGATGGATTTTTTTGTGTATTTTACTTCCATTCACTTTTATTTAATCTCAAACATGTCGTTCTTGGCTGGTATTACCTTTGAAGTTAAAGATATTCTATTGTTCCTCAAATTTTCTTCAAAACACACTTCATATCAAATCTGACGTCTTAAACTACATTATCTTTTTAATCTAATCCTCAAACACTCAATTAAACTTATTAGACATAAAAGACAAGAGAGTTTTGGTATCATCGAAAACAATATAGGATCAACACCGACGGGATAATAGTCACCAACGACGCCTTTTATCTTAGATTGATCCACAAAATTGCTAGCCATTGAACCGGTCTAGTTATATCAACAGCCTTTGCCAATGATATGTGGTTGCTTCGACTTGGATTTGTGTCTCTTGGCGTGGATTCAGCATATCAACGCCCAGATATGGCCCCTGGAACGTTGGATTAGTGCTCCATCGATCAAAATCGACCTCCTCGCGTCGGAATGTTGAAGGCTCTTCTAATGAGTTCTCTCTCACATATGGATAATAATGGAATTTCAATAAAAAGAAGAGGGTAAAATAGTAAAAATAATTGACACCTTTATTCTATGAGACACCGAATAAATATTCTTTGATTTTGAGAAATAAGGTCGTAATAGCTGTTACCTGTAAATAAATTTTATAACTTTTCAGATTACATCGAATTTGATTTAATTTTTTGGATAACACATAATATTATATATTTTTAATTTTGATTTGAATTTAAATTTATCTTTTTTAAAAATTAATTTGGTTCAAGTTGAAATCTATTCTATTTAATTCATCGATTTTTTAAATTATCTTTTTAATGTTTTGATATTATTTTAATATAATTTTAATATATTTAAATAAATTTATAAATAAAATAATTATTTTTATTTTATAAAAATTTAAAATAATATCAAAACTAATAAAAATATACTATTCAATTCGGTTGGGTTGTTTTCACTTTTTTCACTTTTCAATCTACTATCTAATCCAAATATAATAAAAATACTTAATGTCTAAATTTATATCGAATCGAATAAAAAAAATCTATTCAAATCTAATATTATGATTTCAAATCAATTTTTTATTTTTTTTTTCTTTCCTCACCCTTACCTATAAAATCAATTCAATGATCCAAACCTATGAATTACTATTTATCAGGGAACAAGAGGGGAAAGGAATTGCTATTCCCCAAACGTGCCATAAAAGGTAGAGTAAAGCAAACGTCTTACTTAGAATGGTTTATTTATAGTTGGCACTAGTGGTAGAACGAAATTTGGTTTTTAGTAAATAATTGGACCCTTATTTTGGTATTTAGGTTGAATTTGTTTTGTTTATATGAGTAATTTGAATTGTTAATTTAAAAGATACCGGACAGAATTTTTTGACTTGTTAAAACTCGGAAAGATCCAAATGTAGGCACAAACCGAAGAATAAAGCAAATAAATTAAAGTAATTTGATTTGGTTTGGTGCTACTATAATTTATTTAGTTTATTTAAAAATATATTTTTTAAAATTTTAGTTGAGTATTTACTTAATTAATGAAAGCAAATTTTTATCTCCCCCCCCCCCTCCCCACAAGAAAAAAAAAAGGCAAATCAACTTGATCTAAAACTCTACCAATTGTTATAATTATAAATAAAAAGGGGGAGAGTGGGAGGGGGATTTTATCTATTAGTTCATGGAGGGGATTTTTTTAACAAAAGCAACAGCCCAAACTCTGCATTTTTCATTGCTTATCCATTATGGGATGAAAATTTTATTTAAAACTAGCATTATATATAGGGAAAAATTACTTAAAAAGTAGTGTAAGTTTGTACAATTTTATCAATGGCAGTAATGCATTGATTATTGGAATTTTAATAATTTTAAATTAAGAATAAAAATAATTAAAAATTAATTTAAATAAAAAATAATCTTATCTAATTAAAAATATATTATTCACTTTTAAATAAAGTAATAAAAACTTTCGCTATTATTTAAGTGTATATATATATATAATTGGTGGGCTTCGTGTCTTATTAAAAAGAAAAAGAAACTAAACTCAGTTTCTATCGAGGAGATTATGACAAAGGGGAAAATGATTTTACAAATCATGCCAAAAAAAATCAAGCGACTCGTCTGGGAACTCCATTACATTAGGTGTCTGCAACTTTAGATCGCTCTGAAAAAACCAACTAGAGTTTTCATAGTCATCATCACTCTGTGTAATAAGCTCTTGTGCATCCTTAAAATCAACTGCATTTTGCGTTTCCCCTTCTCCAGTGATCTCCTTTTGGCTTACACCTCCACCATCATAGTTGTGGGATATTGTAAAATTTAGATCCCTCGCTGTACTGCAACTCTGCTTAAATTCTTTAGACAAAATTTGTGAAGAAGCGCTATCCTTATTTTTTCCCTTTTTGATCCCGAGCTTCTTGCTCAAATGAGTGTTCCAATGGTTTTTTACTTGATTGTCTGTTCTTCCGGGCACGCGACCAGCTATCAAGGACCACCTTAAGATCAAATTTATTAAATCAGAATACGGCTGAATACTAACTGACAATGCAAGCAAATCCACTGTGGTAGTAGTTGAAATATTTGTTTTAATACAGGCTGCGATGATTTGTAGTCTAATCATTGAAATTAAGAATTTAACATTGTAACAGAGTATGCAACAGCTGTCGGCATAGTTTAAATGTTAATTGTATCATGATTTCCGATGTCAGTAAATGGATAAAATATGACTTGACTTCGCTAACTTGTTTAAACAGAGGAGTGGTAAAAATGGCATAATTGCCAATAATGATCATGCCACCAACCAGAAGTTGATCATAATTGTGAGCACAGACACAATAACTGGTGAATAGTTTAGTAGATGGAATGTGGAAAAAAAAAAGTGAAAAGTACTGCCGTTTTTTACTCTCCAACATATCAAATTCAAATGTTGGGTGAACCAGAGAGGGACCAAGGAAAAGGGTTAGCCTTCTTTGGAATGGAAGAAATGGATTAGGCAATTTGCGGAAGGAAATTAAAAGGAAAAAAGGAAGGATATGTATGAACCTGTTGCCAAGGAGATTATGAAGGCGAATGATAAGGTCATTTTCTTCCTCAGAAAAATCTCCACGTTTAACACCAGGACTAAGATAATTTATCCACCTCAACCTGCAGCTTTTGCCGCATCTCTTCAAGCCTGCACCAGAGTAAGAAGAAAGCTAGTAAGTTTGTAGCCAAACAACAACAGCCGCGCCAACTTAGCGGTTCCCTTTAACCTGTAACTTTGGATATCCGATTCCATTTCCCTTTGCCATGCACCCCGATGTAATCCATCAGAATTCTATCCTCCTCCACTGTCCACAGCCCTTTTTTATGTTCACTCTTTTCTGTCATCTTCGCTGTACTTAAAGTTGCCATCCTAATTTCATTCAAAGAAAAGATCAGAAAAAAGAAATATCAGAGAGAGAGAGAGATGCATTTGGGAGGTTTGGGTTAGCAGTAGCCTGCTTATATAGTTGTGTGACAGTTTGATAGTGAGGGAATTAAATTGGAATATTTTTTGTGTTGAGGCCTCCCAGCCTTAGCAATAGTTTAGGTTGTCTTTTTTAAGGGACACGCTATAGTGGAGTAGGAATTGCTTGTAACCCAAAAACATATGCATAGCAATGAAGAAGATTTGGGCCGTAATTTAAGAGTTTTATATTTATACATCGTCGATGTATAAATTTTATGCACATTAGTGAATCAATTAATAATAATTTATTAATAAAATAAATTAAATAATAATATTTTATTAATGAATTAATTTTTTTAAAAATTTTAATTTAGATACATTTATTTTAAAAATTAATATTTACTCATTAAAAAATATAATAATTTAATTCACTGATTATGTATAAAATTTATATATTATAATGTATTAAATATAAACTTATAATTTAATGTATTCTTGTTATATATTATTAATGCGTTACAAGTCATCATTTTATTAATTTATTTTAAATAATTAAATATTTAAAATTTAAGAATATTATTTTTAAAATTTTTAAAACTTTAAATTGGTTAATCAATGAAATAACAATTTATGATACACCATAATATATAATATTTATACATTAACACTATATCAAATGATCTAAACACACAAAGTGACTCAAATACAACTCATATCTTTGACAAGCATAGTTTCAAAGGGTTAAAGATTTACAAAGCACTCCTTCTGGTAAGCTATATATAAACTACTCACTCCACAACTTGTTTTTTTTTTTTCTTTTCACAAAAATCAACGAAACTTATTAATGCTTCCTTTATTCACAGCATCACCTTTTTTTTTTTTTCAAGATTATATGTCAGAGTCAAAGACATGTTTTTATTCTTAACAATTGAGCAAGACAGTCTTGGCAATTGACTTTTATCTACACTGATCACAACAAGACCTTTCAAGTGTTCGACAAAATTCACAACAAAGAAACGCTTACCAGTTAGAAGGATTTAACAATTGAACCGATATTTAATTCAAATAGTTCATTCAACTTTTTAGAAGGTAGCTTTTAGTAAGGTTAGAATTCAATCTTCGACACTAACAAATTTTCATTCCTAATTTTCTTTAGGTCTTGACCTCATATATACCATAATAATAATAATAATAATAATAATAATAATAATAATAATAACAATTGCATCTTCAAATTAATTCAACTAGTTTAAACCCAATGTATGAAAATATATTCATATATTAACAAATCTTAAATAAATATATATTTTTAAATGATAATATAACCTATAAAATTTACGAACAACTCATAACTTATATAATTATTTTTATTTAAATTTATATATTTTAATATAATAATAATAATAATAACAATTGCATCTTCAAATTAATTCAACTAGTTTAAACCCAATGTATGAAAATATATTCATATATTAACAAATCTTCAATAAATATATATTTTTAAATGATAATATAACCTATAAAATTTACGAACAACTCATAACTTATATAATTATTTTTATTTAAATTTATATATTTTAATATAATAAAATTAATTAATTACATATTTAATATACTTATGCAATTATCATATTTTAAAGAAAACTCAAATTATAATTTATTGAATCCAAATAATCTCTAAATAAAAGACAATAATATTTTCACTTTTAAGAAATCAAAAATTTCATCTTTAAAATAAATTTTACGCACAAACTTTTTTCATAAAAAATTCTTCCATAAGTTATTATTAAAACAAAAATACGGCAATTGATTCTCCGGTATTTCTTGCACATTGGCTTTGTGATTATTGATTTCATCTCTAACAAAGGCTTTTTATTTCTAAACATTAAAACCTCATCTGAAAATAGTCTTTTATGCAATGTGCCATAAAGTTTTACACTAGAATCTTCCTTAGGCAAACTAAATACTAGAAAGAGTAAAATAAAATTTTAATTTGTCATAAAAGCATTAATTTAAAAAGAAATTGTCTAAGCTATTATACCTTTATAAAATTATTGAGACTTCATAAATATCTAGATTGATGTAAATCTTTGTTCCACTTGTAGAAGATAAATTGCAAATGTCTACAAAATTGAAAAAAAAGTTATAGATATTTATGAAATTTAATAAAAAAAATATAACAATTTTGAAAGTACCTTTGAACTTTTTGATTGAATTATAACTAACAACCAACTCTATGGAACGTTGCATTCAGTTCAAGACATTATCATTAATCTAATTAATAATGTTAGCCCAAAGAGCTATCTCTAATGTTTGACCACTAAAATAATAATAATAATAATAATAATAATAATAATAATAATAATATCTTATTTAACTTAAAAGGATAAAGTAATATAAAATATTAATATGAACATAAGAAATTGATAACATAAAGAAATTGAAGATTTAAAAAACAAACCTTTCATTTTGAAGCTCTATTTTTTTTTCTTTTGCTTGGAATTTTCAAAAGCTTGATCATTATCTGGAGTTTTGCTTTTTAATCTTTCAACATCCGAAAAAAAATATATTAGAGAGAAAATTGAAGTTGAGTTGAACAATGATCAAAAGATATAAAATAAGTGAAAAGTGGTTAAACTTGCATTATGCTTAACCTAGAGCTACTTATACAAAGTGTGTGTTATAAGTTAATTAATAAAATAATTTTAAATTATGAAAGTTAATATTGAAATAATAAAAATTGTGAATGACTAATAGTCTAATATTGAAAAATTTTATTCTACCTTTAACATTTAGAGATCACTTAATTTAGAGTAGCAAATTAAATTTATTATATTTAATAATGACAATAAAACAAATAAAATTTTAATTAAATCAACGTGCATTAATATTTAGATTTTAAAATTATAAAATGTTATAGATGAAATCAAATGAAATTCAAGTGTATTAATATTTTATCAAATGAAATCAAACGTACATTAATATTTTATCAAATGAAATCATATTTAATGAAATATAAATCTATCAATCAAATATAGATTAATAAAATAATTTTATTCCATTAATTTAATTATGGAGAATTAATTTGATATATTTGCTTTCTATATTAACACATGAAATACATCAATTACTCAAATTGATACTATATTTAATCAAATATAAATGTATCAAATAATTGATTAGAGAATCAATTTTTTTATAATTGTAATTGTAGTATTTATTAAATTATTAATTATATATTGATTGATTTAATTTGTCAAATTAAGAAATTTTTAAAATTTTAATACTTTTAATATGAATTGAATTGAGGGTGATTTAAAGTCAATAATAAAAACATAAATATTGTCAATTAGTAAGATGATTTTAAATTATAAGAGTTAATATTGAAATAATAAAAATTGTGAGTGAATAATGGTCTAATAATGACAAGTTGATTGATATTGAAATATTTTATTCTATCTTTAACATTTAGAAGTCTTTTAATTTAGAACAAAAAAATAAATTAAATTTATTATATTTAATAATGGCAATAAAAAATTAAATTTTAATTAAATCAATGTACATTAATATCTAAAATTTAAAATTATAAAATGTTACAAATGAAAACAAATAAAACCCACGTGCATTAATATTTTATTAAATGAAATCAAACGTACATTAATATTTTACCAAATAAAATCACATAAAATCATATTTAATGAAATATATATCTATCAATCAAATATAAATTAACAAAATATTTCTGTTCCATTAATTTAATATATTTGCTTTCTATATTTATACATGAAGTACATCAATTACTCAAAATGATACTATATTTAATCAAATATAAATGTATCAAATAATTTATTAGAGAATTAATTATTTTATAATTGTAATTGTAGTATTTATTAAATTATTAATTATATATTGATTGATTTAATTTGTCAAATTAAAAAATTTTTAAAATTTTAATACTTTTAATATGAATTGAATTGAGAGTGATTTAAAGTCAATAATAAAAACATAAATATAGACAATTAATAAGATAATTTTAAATTATGAAAGTTAATATTGAAATAATAAAATTTATTAGTGAATAATTGTCTAACAATGGCAAGTTGATTGATATTAAAATATTTTATTTTACCATTAATATTTAGAGATCCCTTAATTTAGAACAATAAAACAAATTAATTTACTATATTTAATAATGTCAATAAAAAATTAAATTTTGATTAAATCAATGTACATTAATATCAAATAATAAAATTATAAAATGTTACAAATTAAAACAAATGAAATCAACTTGTATTAATATTTTATCAAATAAAATCAAATGAAATCATATTTAATGAAATATAAATATATTAATCAAATATAAATTAATAAAATATTTTATTCCATAAATTTAATTATAGACAATTAATTTGATATATTTGCCTTATATATTTACACATGAAATACATCAATTACTCAATTGGATACAATATTTAATCAAATATAAATGTATCAAATAATTGATTAGATAATCAACTATTTTATAGTTTTAATTGTAGTATTTATTAATTTATTAATTAAATATTGATTGATTTAATTTGTCAATGTCATAATGTCTAGATCCGGGGATCTATCGCTAGACATTGACTTAAGGGAGTCGCCACCAATCTTTTTTATCTAGGTGTGATTGGCCACTTAAGTAATCTGTCCTTTCAGAGAACACCTTAAGTTTAAGGGTCCCTAAAAGAATAGGTTCAAGTCTACTAACCAGAACAGGGTTCGGGAGTTTGGTTACGTGTGAGGAAGGTTATAACACCCTCACAACGCCCATCAAAAGATGGTACCAGCTTAAATTTGTGTTATCCAATGAGCCTTAAAATTTTACCAAGTAATTAATTATTAGAAATTATTCTTAATTGACTCTAATACTTTTAGCAGGAAATTGATAAAATCCCCTCACCTCAAGAATATGCAAGAAAAATTACTGTTTCACTTGCAAAGGCTCCATCGTCGAATTATTTAAAGAAAAATCAAAATCAAAATCAAAATAAAAAGGAAGGAAAGAATGATTGTTTTTGTGCAGGAAAAATTGATACTTTTAATTTTTTTCAAAAATTATTCTTTTGAAACTTTAATTTTGAAGAAAATTGATACTTTCAACTTTTCCTCAAAAATTTATTTTTTTGAAAATTTATTTTTAAGGAAAATTGATACTTTCAATTTTTCCCCAAAAATATTTTTTGAAAACTTTTCTTTTCAG